TAAAACCCCATTAGAGGAACTCTAAGAGTTTTGATTTCAAAACTTTTGCTGTTCATAACTCTAATTTGGAAATTACTTGCTCTTGCAACCTTTATTCACTTTTCAATACACAAGGTATGTCTTTCAAACTCTAATCCTATGTTATTGCAAGATCGAAAATCTTAATAAGTTTCATGTTTGGTCTAAACTCTTGTCTAGACTTGAAATTAACATCCTTATAGTCTTGTAATGAACTTTGCTAGGTGGAACCTAGATGGTTTAGAGTTAAATTGAAGTTTTATTTCACAATTGAATAGTTTTTCACAAAACTTATTGGGCATTCCAAACCCCTTATTCAAAGGTGAAATTGCTTGGGCATACTTCAATTCATTAGTTTATCTAGTGATTACTTGGATTAGAAACTCAATTTCTCTTGATTTGCTGAAAATTTTGATTTTAAGCACCATAATCTTGGATGAACAGTAAAATCCGAAAATTAATTTTGAAAAAGTGAAATTTCTATTTTGTCTCTTTGATTCATGATTAAGCCTTGAGTTGTTCCTTTATTCCATATCATTATTGCAACTCAATTAGCTTATTCTTCTTTTGCATTAATCACAAACTCATATTTCTTCCCAAGAATTTGCTCTTGAAGGTACACCATGGCAAAGACAAAAGGAAATGAGAGTATGAAGAAGAAGAAGAACCCATTCATGGAACCACCAAAGAAGCAAATCAAGCTAGGGAGTAGTAGCTCCAATGCAAGAGCAGCAATACCAACTTCACCACATTCCATTGATGCAATCAAGAACATGTGGAGAGTCCAAGAGGAGAGAAGATGATTGGGCACTTGTAACCTTTGTTGGAGAACAAAATCAAGACCCAAGAAAGTGTAAGAAGGCAATGGAGAAGGTGAACATCGAGCCATGTGTGAAGATGGACACCCAAACCCTTGATCTTCTCAAGATAAGAGATGATGTCACATGGTACATAAGGAAGCTAGGCTTGAGCAAGCTCTTCAAGCTAGAATGTAGTGAGTACTCACAACTCACCAAGGAGTTCCTCTCTACAGTAGCTCTTGCCTTTCCCAACCACAATGGAGACCAACCAGCTGGTGAAGGACTCCTACTCTTCAAGATAGGCGATGCCAATGGGCGCATATCTATCTCAGCTCTATGCCAACTCTTTGGACTTCCCAATGAGACAGCACATGACTTCAAGGAGAACTCAAAGAGGAAACAAGCTGCCTTTGCTGATTGGACACACTTTGCCAATGAACCATTCTTGCCTTCAAGGTCAAAGGTGTCTAGAATCACCCATCCAGCCATTCGCTATGTGCACCGCCTCATCTCCACCACTTTCCAATGCAAACAAGAAGCCAACAAGGTCACAACTGATGAGTTCTACATCCTCACCACACCATTCATCAAGCATGAGTACAAGGCCAACCTTGGACTTTTACTTGCCAAGACATTCATCAATGTGAGGAAGCTAGCTAAAGACTTGGAAGGCAACAAGAAGCTTTGTGTTCGTTTTGGGAGGCTTATCACGGCCATAGTACTGCATGTGGGGATTGACATTCCCAACTATGAGCCACTACCCAAGCCAACCCCTTTGGATCTCCATGCTCTTCAGCACATCCACTTCCTAAACCGTTGGACTAAAGACCCAACTCGGTTTTGCTATGAGTTTCCAATTGGTCCAGCCAACACTTCCCTTGTCTTGCTGCCACATGAGGACATCCCAAGCCTACGCTCAGGAGTTGTCACTTTCCAGCCCAATGAGGAAGAGTTCTATGTTCCATCAAGTGAGAAACCATCATTCCCCATGCTCACCTATCGCACACTTCAGCATGCAGTCAAGACTCAACGCCGCTCCAAGAACGCCATGTTCTCACTACTGGCATGGCCGCACCATCAGCTCTAGACCGTGTTAACAAGCTGGAGAAGATAGTGGAATGCCAATCTCGCTTCATCTCACGCCTAGTCCGCGTAGTTCGCCACATTGCACCGGAGAGACTCTTTCGCCCTTCTTCCACCGCTAGAGAGCCATATGAGCCTGACCTTGGTGAGTTCTCACTAGACTCAGAGCTTGGTTCAGAAGGCGATGACCCCATAGATGAGGAAGAGAGTTCTTCTCACTGCCACACATAGTCATCTCAAGTGGTACTTAGTGCAATGGACACTTACAAATCTCCATTTTCTATCCCTATCTTATTTTAATGAATTTTTCTTTATTTTTCTTTTACTTTGAATATTACCTCTCACCTTAATGTGATTTGCTTTCACCGGGACGGTGCAAGTTAAGTCTGGGGGGAGTTTTATTGTGTTACTAATGCATTTTTCTTTCTTTTCTTATGTTTTATTCACTTTGTTTCATGTTTTTCAAAAAGTTTTATTGAGTCAAAAACCAGTCCGGAAGTTATGAACTTGCTTTGAGAATTGAGAGTGTTATGCTAACAATCCATGACCCTAGAGCAGAAACCAGCTAAAGGCACAAGCCTAACAGAAGCTCTTACAGTGGATCGACATGCTAGCTCAGCAAAATTTCTAAGGTAACCAAGCAATCTAGAGTTAACCTCACACTTAATCAATCTTAATTACTCTTGTCAAGGGGGTTGGCATACATGTCGACAGTTCCTTGCTTGATTTTCAATAAGATTTGTCTAATCTTTAAAGAGTTCTCCTCTCTCTCCCATCCCAAATGGTAAGTATATTTATGAGAAAAAGCTCAAAGAGCACAAGGACAACAAGTAAGCATGAGGAATGCATATGTCTGTACCTTCATGTCTTATGGAATACCTTAGTCAAACAAGGAACAAGCTAAAGACTTATCCTGTGGTTGAAAGAAGGGTCAATAGAAAAAATAAAATGATACCCTAGAAAAGTAGGGAGAAATTGACCTTTCAAAGTTCTGATGTGAGAAAGAGAGAGGAAAAGAACTCATTGCACTTAAAGAGGCAATCTTGGAGAGGATCAAGTGGGTAAGAACAAGTTCAATTGATCGATGTCCCCTTGATAAAGAATTCACGCTTTAAATTTATGCAAGAGGTTAGCAATAGAGAGTTTGGATTGCTGGATGAGACTAGTTGGGTTGGTATTGTTCGCTAAACTTGCAGGGTGTATGTGAAGCTAACCTTATGTTGTCTATGTTCATAGTGGAATACAGGAAAGGAACCTTTCACAGGATATTCAAAAGAGCAAGGGAGCTTCCACGTTTTCAAACCTCTTTCACGGATTTAGATTCTTTTTGCTTGAGGACAAGCAAAGATCTAAGTCTGGGGGAGTTGATATACCTCTAATTTACCCACTTTTTATACTGTTTTAGCATTGTTTTCTAATGGTTTTTGGCAGGTTTTCTATCTAAAAAGGTAGTTTTACTGTGTTTATAGTGTCTAGAGTCTAAACAGGTGAAATGATGCATTTTGGAGCAAAACCATAGGATTTGCACTTCAAGCAGCTCCATGCACAAGCACCAACTTTAAGAGGGCCCAGAAAAAGATCTACTCAATGGATTTCATCAAGACCAGTTCCCTGCGTGCTCTGATTGAGTTAACTTTCCAACGCAATTGGAATGGCCTATTTGGATGAGTAGAAAAGGAGTTATAACCAAAAGAGTGAAGACTGTCCAGACGGCTCTATCGAGAATCAGCGCCCAACCGCGCAGTCCGGCTGGCCGAGGAACGAATGTTCCGCGCTCGGCCAAAGCTCGTCCGTCCGACTGAAGTCTCGGCCAAAGTCCAAACCACTCGGCCGATCACGCATCACGACCCGGGAAACATGTCCCGCGGTCGGCCACGCCACACGCCACACCACCGCGCACGACCAAAGCGCGCGAGCCGGGAAAAAGCCTCGCGGCCGCGCAACCGTTCGCGTACCACGGCCGATGCATCCGTCCGAGCCGGGAAGAACGTCCCACGTCCGGCCGAGAATTTCATCGGCCAAATCTCATCCGCTCGACCACGCCGGCCGACCGTGAATCCGTCCGACCCCGACCGTTCCGACTCGGCCACGACCCGATGTCCGGCCGATCGTCCCGCACGACCGTCCCAACGCCGCGGTCGACCCGAAGCCCTTTTTGAAGCCCAAACTTATGTTTTCAAGCCCGGCTTAACCCTAAGCCGCCTCTAGAAAGACCTAGCACTATATATATGGATTTTTAGCCTCTTGAGAAAGAGAGCCGCCCTGTATTTCGATTTCCTACTCTAAGTTTTATTGCAATCATGTTTTCTTCATCTCTATGTGTGTTTGCTTTGATCATGTCTGAGTAATCCACTAGTTAGGTTGCTAGGGTTACTATTCAATGAGTTGCTTGCATGATCTTTGATTTCAATGATTAGCTAGGGATTATATTAGAGTCTTTGTCTCGTCTTGTGCACTTAACTAATGCTGATTGCTTTACCGCGCATCTAGTAATCCGATCTTAGGTTGATTTGAGCCTCGACAGTGCTGTATCATTCGCCGGACATATTCTTTGACAAGCTAGGTTTCTTAGACTGCGAAAGTTGATCTATCTATATCTAGTGAACTGTATCAGAACCTATTCATTCTAATGCTTGATCTAATCACCTAGGGACATACCAAAAGTTTAGCGACTAGGTAGATTAGCAAAGGAGCCGGAGCCTCGAAAGTGGAATGGTTTTATATTCGTGATCTGTGTTCTAGATGGTTCTTAATATCCCAATATCCCTAATCAATTAATCTATCATTGTTTCATTGATCATTGCTTGCTTCTCTGCGATAGCCCCTATGACCTAGCGCTTTTCCTTTATTGCTTTACAACCTCGTTATACTTGCTAGTTCGGTTCACCATTACAACCTCAATCATACTTTTGTTTTAGCTTGATCCAAAATCCATAGTTACAAAGTGTACTCAATAGCCAGTCCTTGTGTTCGATACCCATACTTCCGCGATCTGTGCACTTGCAGAGGTCTAGGAGTTTGGTAAAACCTGACTCCGCATCAGGCTTCCCCCACCAACCGCCCCAGCCTGCACCTTCACAAGAGAATGAGCTCAAGGCAATGCTAAAGCAACTACTTCAAGGGCAAGCTGATGGGGTAGTGGACACAAGCAAGAAGCTAGCTGAAATAAACTCTAAGATCGAGAACCTCAACACAAGGGTTTACTCTCTGGAGAATCATGCTTCTTCTGTTGCTGCTGCTACAAAGCAAGGACAACTACCTGGTAAAGCTATTCAGAACCCCAAGGAACAGTGCAAGGTCATCTTCACTCAAGAAGGACTTGTTGAAGAAGAGGATCAAGAAAGGGTCATTGAAGATTTTTGTTTACTGCTGAATGATGAAGAGATTGTTGCTGCTGAGGCTCCTGGAGTCCAGATTGATCAACCAGAAGTGCATGCACCTACTGTGGCCATTCACACTTCACCAGTTGAGCTCGCACGACAAGCTCGATCGGCAGCTCGATCGAGTCCAACTCTAGCTCGATCGAGTCCGACCTCTTCTGTCCGACAGCCTGTTTTGCTTGATCCTTATCAACCGGTTGCCGCTTCCTCGTCTCGCCTACTTAGTCAAGGTCACAAGGAAGTGATTCACAAGTTCAGAAGAGATCTCAGTGGGATTGGAATTGAGTTGCCTACTATGGATAGCATGAGTGAGGCATTTGATCAAATGCAAATGGTCAAGGATGTTCTAGCCAACAGTGATAAAGTTTCAGAGGTCCTACAAGAGTCTACTCATCAGTTCAACCTGCTTACTTCACCCACCTTCCTACCAAAGGTCAAGGATCAAGGGAAATTCACTCTCCCTTGCACACTTGGGCATCTTGAGATTGACAATGCCTTAGTGGATTCTGGAGCAAGCATCAATCTGATCTCTCTCTCCATGGCAGAGAAGCTAGGCATTGCTGGAGCCTTGCAGCGCCCTACTACTTCAATCATGTTTGGAGATGCAACTTCTAAGTCTCCTCTTGGAGTGTTCAAGAACTATCACTTGAAAATTGGAGAATGCATCATCCAAACTGATCTCACTGTGATGGAAATGGAAGAAGAGAAGGATTTGCCTTGTTATTGGGAACCCCTTTCCTTAGTACAGTTGGCGCTTCAATAGACTTTCACAAGCAAGAAGTGATCCTTCACAAGGTGAATAGTTTGGTGTCATATCGCTTGCAGCCTAGAGGTTCAGACTTTTGTGCCACAATTGACAGTACCAATCTCAGTTCTAAGAGTCATGGAGCTACAAAGGTTGTGAAGGAAAGGGTTGACAAGGAACCAAGAGTTGGGAAGGATAAGGATGAGAGAGGACCAAGGATTGAGAAGCCACGTCTTGAGAGGGCTAGAGTTGAGAAACCACGATCTGATAGGCCAAGAGCTGAGCGACTTGTTCAAGCCCCTTGTGTGCTTGATGAAGAGAGCCTTCAAGCTTTGTTTGATGAGCCACTAGGAAGGGCTCTAAAGAAGGGGAGGATGCAGCCTCTAAGGCAAGACCAGGAGATAAAAGAAAGGATCCACCAGCTCAGGCCCCTTCAGTCAAGCCATCTCAGCTCACAATGACCTTGTTCCCCACCAAGTTTGAAAATGGGAAGATTGAGTACAAGATAAGGTACAAGGGGAGATCAAGGCCATTCTCTAGAGCCAAGGCCTTGGTGACTTCAGAACAGTCCAGGGACCCAACCAAGCTAAAGGAGCTTCTGTCTCAAGTCCTCACTATCACCCTTGATGGTGGGACTAGCTCAACCAATGCCTAAGAAGGTAAAGGTCAAGCTATGGGACCTTAAACAAGCTCACTTGGGAGGAAGTCCCATGTTTATCCTTGTACATACTCTATTTATGCAATTTCTATCTATCTTTATGTTTTAACCTTTGAATAAGTTAAGTTTAGGTGTCAAGGAGCCAGCTCGACCGACAGCTCGATCGAGCTAGAAACCAGGGCAACTCGATCGAGCTACACAACTCGACCAAGGTAAGTTTTTGAATTTCAAATTCATAACCGTTTTCTTGGTCAAGGGAGTGGGTCCCACAAGCTGATTTTGGTCCCCCACTACCCTAATTTGATCAGAGAATCCCTAGTTTCTTGTTCCCTCTTTATTTCATCTTTTAATCTCAACCACACATCTCAAACACTCCCTCTTCCCCATAACTCGATCGAACCCACTTCTCTCTCCCACACTCATATTTTTCTGAAATTCTCTCTCTCTCTTCACCACAAGAAAATCGAATTTTCAATCTCTTTCTCTCAAGTTTTTGCGATTTCATTGTTCATCTTCTTGTTTTGCTTGGGTTTTGTTTACTGCTCTTCAATTCATTCAACAAGGTATGAACCCTAAAACCCTTCATTCATCCATCTCGATTTCAACTATTGCTTGTTTCCTTTGATTTTTGATTGCATGTGTCCCTTGTGGACTTGTTCTTGAGTAATTGCCCTCATATTTCGCCTCTGCTGTATAATCTTGTAATTTGTTTCACCTCACCTCTGTTTTGCCTTAAACTTGTTGCATGTGCTTGAAATTGAATTTGAGTTTGGTTTTGGTTAAGATGCTTAGTCTTCTCTATAGTTGCTCATTGTTCCATTTACTAGTTGTTCTTGGTTCAATTTGATTGATTAGCATCTTTTCCAGCTCTTAATCTTGAATTAGGTTTGGTTATACTCTGTTTTCACCCAACTCGATCGAGTTTGTCACTCGAGTTTTTTGACTCGATCGAGCTGAGTGTCGAGTTGACCAAACCGATCATTACAACTCTAATTCTTTGTAATCTTTGATGCATTTCAGGTACTTTAGTGAAGAAACAGTGTAACAAGGATGACAAACAGTGAGGGAAGCCGCTTCACAGAGGAGAATGGTTGAGGGTGAGTCAAGCAATGCAAGAGAGAAAGGCTTAAGATGCAAGCCGATTTGGAGAGGATGGATCAGAGGATGGAAGAATCTGATGCAGAGGATATGTCTACTCTGAGGAACAGTCTGAGAGTGAGAGGCTGAGGGAAGAAAGGAGAACCAAGAAGAGGAATGACCCTATAAGTAGTGAGAGTGAGCAAGGAGAGTTTGAGATTGGAGTGAACCTTGTTCAAGAGGAGGGAAATGGTTCTCCAAATGAAGAAGGAGTGATGGACTGAGAGTGAAGAGGAAGGAGAAGAGGTGAACCAATTGGTTGATGAAGATGACAAGAGGGAACCAAGATGAGCCAATGGAAGAGGCTGAGGAAGAGCAAGAGGAGGATGAGCTCCCTATGTACCAAGAGCACTACAATGCTCTCTTCTCCATGGACTTTGTGAGACCAAGTACCCACATGATGACACATGAGAGATCTTGGATCTTTGAGGATGTGGAGTTGGTGCTCAAGAACATGCAATTGGGAAGTTCTTCTCTCACCGCATGGAGTCTTACAAGGAGCTCACTTGTGAGTTTTTGGCTCATGAGGTATCACAGTTTGATGAGCTCGATCGAGCTGAGTTGGACCAAGGCTGGGGGTACACTTTCTAGCAAAGGGAGAGAAGAAGATGGTGACCTTTAGGCAGCTTGAGATACTGTTTGGGTTCACTATGGAGAAGGTAACCATGGAACATCAAGGAAGAAGAACTCCAAAGAGTTGGGCTACAATAGCTGAAGAGGGTACTCTTCCTCAAGGTCCAAGGCTGCCCAGATCAGGAGCCTGTCTTAGATATGTCACAAGGCACTTGCCAACACCTTCTTTGCAAGGAAAGCCACTGGACAATCAATGAGGGAGAAGTGAAGCTCCTTACCATGGGAATCAAGCCCATCATCTCACGCACAAGGATGGGAAGAAGATCAGAGGAGACAGGGCACACGCAGGGAATCTTATGCCTCTCCTTGAGCAGCTCCAAGCCTACAAGGTCACAGCTTACAACACTAGGCACCAAAGAGGAAGAAAGCTTAGTGTTGGAGGGGTGATCACACCATTCTTTGTGCAGCTGGAGTTCAAGTGGACAAGAGAAGCTACTCCACCAGGTTGGATGGACATCAAGTTTTGCAAGACCAACCTCCTCATTGAGCACAAGGAATTGGATGGGAGATTCCAATTCAAGTTCACACATCCCATTGGCTGGACTCCTCCAAGCTTCTCCTGCCCAACCCTGAGCTCACCACAGTAGTCAGGGGTGAGAACATTGACTTCAGACCCCCTGTGTACACTTAGTTGGGCATGAGCGATTTGCAAGAAGAAGAGATCGAGCTCGATCGAGCTGAGGATCGAGCTGAGGCTCAAGCTGAAGATGGAGTGCCAGGAAAGCGCTGATTTGGGTGAGCCTGAGTGCTATTACTTTGAGGAGTATGAGGCTCCAAGGATGAACCCCTCTGTTGTGGCTGCACACAAGAGGATTGGACTTCTCCAAAAGTTCAACAAATGGCAAGGGAAAGCCATTGAGAAGATGCAAAAGTCCATGGACAAGATGGTGAGCAAGATCAAGAGCTTGGAGAAGAAAGTTTCTGGTTCTTCAAGCAAGAAAAAGAAGGCACCCAAGCTCCCACTTTCCCTAGGAGTAGGTCACTCCTCACCACTCAAAGGAGACTCCCTGCCCAAGAGCCTCACAGAGCCTCTTCTTTCGAGCCAAGGGAAGGAGAAGACAACACGCAGAGAAGGAGGAAGACTTCCAAGGCCAGACGCTCCAGCTCGACCACCGGACTCGATCGAGTCCAAACAGAGGAAACTCAACTCGATCGAGCTGACGGTCGAGCTGACCAGGAGGAGCCCCAGTTTGAGGATCCGGGATTTGAATACGATCCCATGCCTTACCAGGAGCCTCCCCGGAGTAGATGGAACTCCTATGGACAGTACGAGCTACCAATGCTCCACCAAGGCCAAGGAAGCCACACACATTTCAACGATGAAGAAGAGGAGGAAGAGGAGCCACAAGCTCGATCGAGTGAGCCCAAGATGAACCCCAGTTGCATGGAGTGCTCCTGATGGCCGTCTCCCATCTCCAGACCACGACCTAGTCTCCCAGTTCTTTGGGGGGACACTGAGGTATCCAAACACCAACCCTTGTATATACCATTTCATATTTTCTTTCATTTGTTCTTGTTTTTTCTTGGTTTTGCCCTCTTGAATCTTTCACTGAATTTTTCTCACACAAGGGACTGTGTGATTTAAGTTTGGGGGAGGGTTCAAGAGATGATTTAACCTTGTTTTCTTTGTTCTTAGTTTTTCATTCATCTTTTGCATAGAAAAACCAAAAAAATCATAAAATTTTCAAAAAAATCCAAAAATATTTTCATCTTTTTGCATTCATATTTGTTAGACTTGTTTAGGATTGCATTTTTCACTTGCATTGTTGATTTGACTTTGAAAACTTGTCCATCTTTTGCGATTTCTTGAGTGCCCTGTTTTTAGATTCTTTTGTGCATTAGGGTGAGATTGATTGAGCAGCAAGAACCATGTTTATCTTGATCATATCGCTGCATGCACATCTCATTCAACCATTGCTGTGATTTGATGCATTTCCCTATCTATTTGAACCATAACTTGATCTTTAATTACCAATGCTTGCATTTGATTTCAACTCATGGCTACCACATACATATCTGGACATTCTTTCCCTTTCATATCCCTTTTGCTTGTCCAGATAGCTGATCTCTATCTTTGAGACAGTTACCATACCTTAAACCTAAGCCTTTTTCATTTCAAACCCCATTTTATCTCTTGTGCGAATGTGAGAACCTTTCTTGGCTTTGCTTAGCATAAGGTGTTGTGTTTAAACCGGCAGGGGCAGTAGTTCTAGTTGTCTAGTTCTCTTGGGATTGTTTTCAGGCTAAGTTTGGGGGTGCCAACTCGAGCTCGATCGAGTTGGGTGTAAAAACCAGAAAAGTGGTAAAAATTGGGAAAAACCCAAAGTAAAAGAGTTTGGTTAAGTCCAGGGAGTTGGCAGT